AGTTGGTATATTGTCTGTATAATGGTAATTTGGTTATTACCTTAACTTCAGTCTCCCTAATTATCATAATAGTCGTTGTTAATTGTTATGTGGTAAATTGAGATTAGTATTTGGCATCCCTTAATTACAGTTTTGCCTTTATTGTATTTATTATTAATTGGCATTATTAATTACTGTTATTAAGTTTAGGGGCTAATCTCATTTATTACCTTCCATAATAATAATTATTTTGTGGTAATATGCTATATTTGGTACATTGGTATGATTACCACTTATTTTTACATGACTATTAATGTTGGTAATTAAGTCCTACCAATAAATTTTTTTGAATGTACCATTGGACGCTGCATCGAGTTTATTTACACCGATAGTAAAGATTGGGAGAATTCTGGAGATTTTTCTTCTCATGTGGATCGTCATCATTGTTAGCGGAATGGGGAGATGCGGTTTGCATCATTAAGGTTAGCCATTAATTATCTTTTATGGTTATTATTGATAATTAGTGTTACAGTTACGGTTAACCGCTAATTTGGACTAGTTACATATTTTATTTTTTTAGAAAAATGAAAACATTAAAAAGTCCATTACCATACTTTAGTTTGTCGTTATTATTAATGTTAATAGTGATTATAATGTTACTTATTTCTATTAATAATTAATTAATGATAACATTAATATTGTTATGGTATTCAGATATGTACCTTGAACTGTTTCCAAATAAATTTATGTGACAATATTCCACTTAAGAAAATAGTTTTCTTGACATTAATGTTTTTCGGGCTTAATTTTATTAAGTTTTTAAAATTTTATCCGAAAACGTTTATAAAGATTAGCGGCTGTAACCATTGTTTTTTCATATTTAGTCTCCTACCTAATGTGATAATGTTATTATGGATATTTATTCCTATTTTGATTATTTGCAATTTTGCCATTAATAATAATATTATTATTAACTGGGTTATGGAGAGTGATTTTGAATCAATTTAGTAATTTTGGAAAAACATGTTTGCTAGGCAATTGACTATTGCCATTAATTTCATAATTCATTTAGTTCTTTGAATTATGATTTTAGTTCTGATTGTCCATATTTGGTTAAGTATGAATAAATAAATATGTGGTGTAAATTCATATTCTTTAGTTGGTTCATACTCTTTAGATTGTTTTATGCATTCGATCACATTAAGTGCATAATATTAAGTTTAATTATGCAATTGGGATTTGTGAGACTTTTAATTTACAAATGATAGCATATCCTTTTGGTTTGATATTGTTTGAGTTTTTAAATTCAGTTATTTCTCATAAATTTGATCTTTATGCATTAAAACATTTTTGTTATGGGCTTACAGTTTAAAAATTTTAAAGTATATACCTAGTACATTATTATTCAAAATGTTGGATCTCTTTTGATTTGGACTCATTGGTGTTTGAATATTAAGTTTATACTTTAAAATCTTATATTGTAAATTGCTTTAAGTTATGCAATTTATTTGGAATATATGAGTTTAATGTTTAATTTATGCATATTTGTCCTTCGCATAATATTATGTTTTAAATTATGCAATTTTATTATGCCTTCAGCAATGCATACTTTGGGATGAAATTATATTAGTTTCTATTTAAGTTGGACTTATGCATAAAACTTTAGTTGCGGTAGTGCCTGATTTAAGCACGTTTAAGCCGTTAATTTAGTGCACCAATTTAAACTTTAATCATAGGTGAACCATACAGTTTTTGGCGTATACCCAACAGTTTTAGGTTCATACCCCAAACAGTTATAGATTAAGTATATATGAATCGGTGAGGCACACTAGTTTTAATGTCCATGACTTAAGAACATCGTGTGCCACTAGTCTCCTTAAATTGATACTTTATCTGAAAAGTTGGTTTTCAGTGTGACTTTGTGTTTAGCCAACTTTTCTGGGGGTATATTTGAAATTTCCCATCATAATCTGGTATAATTTGCCAGAATTTTAAGTATTTCTTGCCAATGTGATTTGATTTCGATTCATTAAAGAATAGCCATAGCATCTTTAATTTACTGAAGTCTCTTAAGTTTTCAATCTTGGTTAATTAAGGAATAGCTACAGCATATTCAACTACCTAAGATTATTAAGTTATGATCTTATAATTTTAATTTGGTTGGGGAGTAGTCACATCATCCTTAGCTTAATCAGTTAAAATTATATAGGTTAGGCAAGGAATTGATAATTGTCTAGTGATCTTATAATTTTAATTTGATTGGGGAGTAGCCACAACATCCTTAATCAGTTAAAATTATATATTAAGCGGTTTATCTTGATCACATAAAGTTTTGGACATATCATTTGTGATTTCGTTATATTTGTATATTTAATCACGATGAAATACTGGACTACGGTCATAATTTAGCCCACATGCAATTATGTATCGGAATGTAGTTTAGTAGTTTTAGTAGTGATGATAAAAATAAATCAATTTATTTACTCTATGGTTATTTGTAAATAATTTCCAATTCTATCATGAAGTTTAATTTTATGATGTAAACTTTAGATCATATTTCTAATTTTCCCACATGGATTAAGGAAAAGAATATGATCTCTTTAAGTTTTTTATCATAATGGTTGTAATGAATCTTATTGAATAAAACCATATCCTACAGGCAAATTTTATGTCAGTTGATTCTTCAACTCATTTGATAATTGTTTCATCATAAATACAAATTTTAGTCCGATCTAATTGAATTAAAACTTTAGTCCACAGACAAATTTTATGTCACTAGATTCTTCTGGTTATTTAGTAATTGAGATAAAATATTGTCATAAGGGTTTCTTAATTGGATTTAACAGAATTAAAACTTTAGCCCACATGTAAGTTTTATGTCAATAAATCCCTCAACCCATTAGATAATAATTTTATCACAATTTCTTAGAATTTATAAATTTAGCTCAATTATAATTCTAAGTTTCATGGTTTGCATTGGCAAAACATGTATTCAGTCACTTCCCAAAATTTAGCAACTTTTATTAATTGATCCACGAATCTTGCTCAATTCTTCGGACCAACTGTTGTAAGTTACATGATTTGACATACCTCTCTTGGATTCTAATAATAATAAAATGTATCTTTTGAGCCAAATTCGAACTTGATTTTGGAAGGTGTATTTTGTTTTTTTAGTATGTCCAACTATGGTGGAGAATTATATCTTCATTATTTAGTTGGACTTTAATTGGAACAAAAAATTGATTATTGAGTATGTCCAACTAATTGTGGGGAATTATGTCTTCATTTGTTAGTTGGTCAAATCAATTATGAGTATGTATATTATTAAGTTCACTTTATTAATTTCGCTGAAGAATATCCTAATCAGTGGGAGTGATCATTTAGAAAAAGATCATTAAGATACTCTACTAAAGTTTATGGATTATTGTCTTCATACATCTCAAATTGGATTGTATGTCAAACAACAAGTCTAAAAGATTCCGCAAGTATTAATCTTGTATTTTATTTGTTCATATGAATTAATCAGTTTAAATTATTGAACATTTGGTTGTGCAACATATTTATGAAAATAATGTTGTAACAATATTAAGGAATTTATTAGAACAAAAACATTTAACTTGTGGAGCACTGCCATTTAATAATTCTTCAGTGATTAATAGAGTCTTTAGTTTTTCAAAATTGATCCTGGACCATTTTGATTTGTAAGGCTCAAAACAATTTTGTGAGGCATATAAGTAAGATTCATTATGTTTAGTTCATTTAAAGGGGACGACATTGAAGTTATTTAGGAAGTTATGGTGTATGATTAAGATTCCAAATTTATGGACTTAGACCTTTGGCTTATTGCACTACAAGAAAAATGCACATAGACAACGGTTAATAACCGTTGTCGTAGGGGTATAATTTCTGTTGTTGAAGCCGGTGTTGTTGTAAGTCTCGCGCATAGACAACGGTTTTTTAACCGCTGTCTTTTCTAGAAACAACAACGGTTTTTTAACCGTTGTCTATTAAGTGTTGTTGAAGCCGGTGTTGTTGTAAGTCAAGCACATAGACAACGGTTAATAACCGTTGTCTTTTCTAGAAACAACAACGTTTTTTTAACCGTTGTCTATTAAGTGTTGTTGAAGCTGGTGTTGTTGTAAGTCACGCACATAGACAACGGTTAATAACCGTTGTCTTTTCTAGAAACGACAACGGTTTTTTAACTGTTGTCTATTAAGTGTTGTTGAAACCAGTGTTGTTAAAAGTCACGCACATAGACAACGGTTAATAACCGTTGTCTTTTCTAGAAACGACAACGGTTTTTTAACCGTTGTCTATTAAGTGTTGTTGAAACCGGTGTTGTTAAAAGTCACGCACATAGACAACGATTTTTAACCGTTGTCTTTTCTATAAATGACAACGGTGTTTTAACCATTGTCTATTAAGTGTTGTTGAAACCGGTGTTGTTAAAAGTCACGAACATAGACAACGATTTTTAACCGTTGTCTTTTCTAGAAAAGACAACAGTTTTTTACTCGTTGTCTATTCAATGTTTTGAAATCGGTGTTGTTAAAAGTGATGCACATAGACAACGGTTTTTAACTGTTGTCTTTTCTTTAAAAGACAACAGTTATAAACTGTTATCTATTGTGTGTTGTTGAAATCGCTGTTGTTAAAAGTTACGCCCATAAACTGTTGTCTTTTGTAGAAAAGACAACAGTTTCAAACTGTTGTCTATTGTAAAATAGACAACGATTTTTAACCGTTGTCTCAACCCATTTTAACCTACTTAAATTTTAATCATATAAAAAATCAATTTATCCATTCACCATGGCCAAGTGTAGTTACATAATTTTGAAGAAGCTAAGCAAGGTTCAAAATAACAAGTCAAAATACTTTCATTACCAATTCTAATCGAATCATCATCCAAGTCATAATACTACAAAAAACAATTCTACGAACCAAGTCTAAATGATTACAACGTTAAATCATACCTACTCTATATAACTTGATAGAATATCGGCCCATTCTGAACGCACCAGATCAATAACCGCTTTGTCATAATCAACTTGTTGGAACTACATATAAAAAGTGAGTAAATAAATTAGTATAGATATAATAAATTTGCAATGAAATGCGAACAGAGGAGGTATTTATACACTACACAAGAATAAAAGTGAACCAGTGATGCTATAGAATTGATACAAAGAAACAAAAAAGTGGAAAAAGTATGCAACTAAGAATATCGTGCTCAAATATGTTATCACAACCACATCCAAAACCTATACAATCTAATATATAATCTCACAATTAATATAAATTAATAATCAGAAATTTCTATAGACCAGGCAGCATTCCTTTTCTATTTTTCTAAGTAGTGGGGCCCATAAAAAACTTATATTGCTGGAGATAAAATTTACCCAAAAACTATCTCTACATTAGTTAAAAACTCATTTGATGATTTTTGTTTTCCAAAAAAACACGAAAAAAAAAACCCCAAATGGGGATGCTTAAGAGGCAACCATCAAAATACCTTAAAGTGAGCCATAGCAGAAACCTTCCAGTGAAGTTGCCAAGAAGATAGTGAGCTTACAAAATTACAAAGAAGATAGCCATGGGAGAAAACCACATCCATTTACTGTTTCTCATTCTTCAAACTTATAAATGTATACTGACATCATAGTTTTGGTGGGGAAAAAAAAGTTGAGAATTTGACACTCAAATGCATTACCAGTGTTCATATGAAACTCAAATACATTACCATTAAAGAATCTACAACAAGCTAAAGGGAATGTATTACCAGTGTTCATATGAAACTCAAATGCATCATATTTCCACTTTTAAACATTCAAATCAGAATAATTTTAAACACGAAATAGAAATGGAAAGGATCTCATATAGAACCAAGTAAAACCTAGAATGACTCTCCATAATGTACTCTTATAGAGTGAACTCTTACCAAAATCAAGTATAGCTAGCTTTCCATTTGGAGTGCGTATCAAATTCCCAGTTGACGATCAACATTGAAGAAACCTGTATCAAGCAGATGTAGAAAATAAAAAGCAATAAAGATGATGTACACGATACTAACAAAGATTTCTCATATATATGTGACCTTCCTTGAAGTATACTTTCTTCAAAATCTCTGCAAAGAGTGTCCCCATTTTCTCCCTCATTATTGGTAGTCCTCTTGAGCATTTGCGTTTTCCTGGATACACACAAGTACATGAGGATTAAGTCACATTTGGAAAAAATTGTGTGATCCCTTCCAATTGCAGGATATAGCATTATAATCTATCTGAAGTAATCATCAGCAATTTAATTAAAAGTATTCAGATGCACAAGCGCACAAACAATACAAGTAGATAACCTGACATTAGGCTTTTCACTTATAGGTATTTTGCACTTATCTTACTCAAAGCATAGGCCTTCTTCATTTTGTAAAGATACATACTGGTATTTGGCTAATGCAAAAATTACTCACTAAGAATACTCAATATCTTCTGCTAACCTTTTTCTGAAGATCAACTAAATAGTTTCTAAAGAGATCTTCACGATCTGCCTCTCTTTCAACAGCCTTGAACCGTTCATCATCTTCAAACATTGTTACTGCCTTGCTAGATTATCAAACAAGATACCCCATAAGAATTTTATAAGACTATTTTACAAGGGCATATCTGAACAACTAAATATATGAAGAGCAAGTACAGCAATACATGGGTATTAAATAAAAATGTCCCTACATCCATCTTGTTGATGATGTAAGTTCCTTGGACTCCTGAAGGGAAAATTAAAAATTAACAGTGACAAAAGAAGTCAGGAGTTGATCCATTTCATTCAAAAGATGCTAATTATTTGAACCAATAACAGCACAACTAATCATAAAACCATTGTAACAGCATGGGCACTACAAAGTGTGGCTTGGTGCAGCATACTCTAATTCATTACTGTTTATTATAGGCTGGAAACAAGGGCAATTATTATAAAGAAAATGTAGTATGTTTTACTACATTAAATAACCTATTAGAAAGTAAAATATATTGAAAATGCATCCACAAGGCTACTGTAAGACTATAGCTTCAATAAACCAAGAGGCAAGAATAACTTATTGAAAACAGTAAAGAGAAATGAATTATCTAAATGTTGCTTAAAATACATGAACACTACAAAGCTTACTTCCAACATCATCGTGAATTCTTTCTTGGCTTTTCTCTATCTCAGGCGCTTCTCCTTAGCCTCCAGTTTTTATATTCTTGTAATTAAAAAGATAAGAATTACCAGAGGATACATAATATACTAGTGGTAGGTGGCGAATTGGCGGATGATCTACTCCATCGATGGCGGCGATAGCGAGAGGGACAGGGAGGCAGCGGTAGGTGTCGGACTATCGGCTGATCTGCAACGTCCGTGACGGCGACAACGATAGGGAGCGGGAGGTGGCGTTTGGTCTTCTACGTCGTCGTCGTTCTGCACCGAGAGGCAGCGGGGAGCACTGGAGCATTGTCGGCAGCAATGGCGTATCCAGAATCCAGAGGCAACGAGAGATTAGGGTTTTCTTATTTAACTTTTTAACTTCAAGTGTGGCTAAGGCTGAGGCGGTGGCTGGCGGCGAACAAGGCGGACGACGGAGGGTAGATTTTCTGGGAAGAAGGCGATGGATTTGGATCTGGGGCAAAATGAAATGGCGGAAGAAATTTTGTTTTTGTTTTGTCTTCCTTAAAGTGTTAACGAAAATAATTGAGAGGGAATTTATTTTTTGAGAGGGAAGGAGATTTGTTAGGAATAAAGTGTAATAGTTTTGATGAGCCAAATTTGTATTTTTAGAACCCCCCATATTTTATTTTGAGTCTAGTTGTCTATTAGTCTAAGTCCCAAGTCAAGCCATAAAAGTCTACGAATTCTTAGCAAAATATACTTATCCAGAATGTTACTATTTGAGATTTATTTACCTTAGAAGACACTAAAGGATGAAGCGGTGAAGTGGATAAGGAACAAGGTGACTAAAGTCAGACGTCACGGGTTTGAGACTCAATCTTTACATTTGGGGACGACCAAGGGGCAGACTCGGATTAATCTACAAATTAATGTAAAATGCTGCTAAAGCCATTCTGGGAATAAAGATTAAATCCAGAAATATTAACCAATGAGTTAATATGGCGTAGTGGTACAAGCTTAGAAGATAGATCTGATTGGGCTTGTTTTAAATCTCATTGGAAGTATATTTTTTTAAAGATGACACTTGTTGGGTGCATGCTACAATGTGGACACATGTCATGCTAAGTTGACTACAAGTTTGGAAGCTTGTGGACATGATAAGGAAGATGCACGTGAATTCTTCTACACATCTTCTTTCTCATTTAAATCTCTTGCTATGAATCTCATATCACTTCAGAGGAAGAAATAGACGAAGATATAATTTTTACTCAAGCAAGAATCAGCAGGAAATCTTTTGGAAGATTTCATCATTTTGAATCCGTCAAAGATAAGGTAATTATTTTTCGAAGAAGATTCAGCTGATGAGCCGATATGTATGACTTTTGAAGATTTTTCGGGTGAGGATTTTCAAACTCACTATGGAAGCCCATCTCTTGCATTAAATCACCGCAATGCAAGTTGGCAATAATGTGTAGCTGATCAAGATGAACGATCAAGATCAAGTGATGCTACAACGGTAATATAGCTTCTTCAGCTATATATACCAGATGACTTGAAGACATGAAGTAGAGAGTGCAATACACGAAAAAGAGAAGGCAAGGCAATACAAAGAAAAGCAAAATTCGAAAATATCCATTTTTGAGCTTACACGAGAGATTCTTCAAGTCATTAGAAGAGAAATTTGTTTTCTCTTAAACTTACCTCTACTGTGTGTAGAAAGAGGGTTGAATGTAGCTTTGTGCAAGACACTACCCTGTTGAGTGTAACTTTGTGCGAGACACTCGTGAGTGTGTAGCTTTGTGCGAGACACTCGTGGTTGCTAAGTTGTAGCTGTGTGCGAGACGCTCGGTGGTGCTAAGTGTAGCTGGGTGCAAGACACTTAGTTGGTGTAGGAGTATAGCTTTGTGCGATATACTCGGGAGTATAGCTTTGTGCGAGATACTCGGGATTGAGTGTAGCTATGTGCAAAACACTCGGGAAGTGCATGTGTGCACTTGATTCACTATTTGTATCTGGGTGAACGAGATAGTGAATTTCCTCCTTGGAGTGAAAGGAGAAGAGTGGACTAGGAGGATTACACCACCTCTGAACCACTATAAATTGCCTCTCTCATTTACATACTGCTTTATTTATTATTGCACGCATACTAACCCATTTACTATTCGTCTTATTCATTTATCTTATTGATTGGGTTATGTGACTTTACAAGTGCATGCAGACACAATTCTATTTTGGATTCATTCATTGATTCACACGTGATATCACACACATATTGAGTGCACCATCTCTTTAAATATTCATTTGTTATCTTGCATGTTGAATATTTGACTGACCCATCTTATATACTGTTCAAATTTATTCATCTGGGTCTAGTAGATTTCACGTTTGCATGTGGGCATAAATTTGCATACTTATTATTTGAGCCTTTGCAAGCATATCCATAATATTGCATGTGATATATCTCTTTGATTTTACGTAACACTTGGTTGTTTTAATTATTCCGCTTCGCATCTAAGTTTCATATCTTGTTACTTAGAGTTGAAATTACCAAAGTGTTATTAATTGTGAAAAAGTTTAAAAAGTCTATTCACCCCCCCCCCCCCTAGACTTTTTACCACCCTATCGGGACCAACAAGATTATTTTTTACAGAGTGTGTGAGGGAATTTTTTTTTTTTTTTTTTTTTTTTTTTTTGGGGAGGGAAGGAGATTTTTGCAAAATGTGATAGTCTTGAAAGTCAAATTTTAAAGAAGACTGAATTTCATTTTTGATCTTAAATTTATAGGTAACAGTCTATTTGTAATCATTTTTTATCAAAATATTCAATTTTGGTCCTAGTATTATTTCGACATGATCAATTTTGGTCCTCTATCAATAAAATCGTTGAAATTAAATTAAATTAAATGAACTTTCAAAAAAAAAAATTGAATGACATTTTGATATTTTTAATACAAAGTGCGTTGACCCGTTATATTTTTTTATGTTTATTTTTATGAAAAAAAATCATAATTGAAGAGCGAAATGTCGTGTATTTAACGAAATTTCAACAATTTTTTTTATATATGACCAAAATTGGTCATGTCACAATAATATTAGGACAAAAAATGAATGTTTTGATAAAATTAAAAAAAAATATATCTAAAAGTGAACTGTCACCTATATTAGGACCGGGTCCATCATAACCCAGGTATATAGGTACAGAACGGGGGTAAGAAAATAATAGCTTTATTACTTGGGGCACTAGGCCCAAAATAGTAACGAGTATATAGGTACAGAACGGGGGTTAGAAAATAGTAACTTTATTATCCGGGGCGCTAGGCCTAAAATAGTACTTATAAAGTCCCAGGTACAGGCCCAGGCTGGCGGCCCAAATATAAAGATCCAAATACAAAGATCACGGCCCAATAAATGAGCTACAGCTAATTATGCTAGCGCTACTAATAGGAATCGAACCCCAAGTGACTAGGTACAGAACGCGAGATTCATAAATTTTTATACTGTAGATTCATAAATTCTATAATATAGATTTATAAAATCTTTACTCTAGATTCATAATTTCTAAATCGTAGATTCATAATTTAAATACAGTGAATCTAAATTGTGAATATAGAGTTCAAACATACCGCCCTTAACCCCTCCACACCATACTGCACCATTCTGAACACCACACCGCACCGCACAGGGCCGTTCTAGGGCATATAATTTAATGAATTGAAAATAAAACTTTAATGAATTGACATTGAAATTTTGGTGAATAATTTTATATTTAAATATGAACGAAAATAGAACTATTAAATTAACTTTTGAATTGTATTATTTCTTTGTTAAATTTTTATGCATTATATTTGGACAAAAAATTTAATTACATTTTTATTTTTGTTCTAGATCTTCTAAACATCTATTTTCATCTTGTAACAAAAACAATGAAGGTCCAAATTATAGGCAAAAAACAAGGTGTAACACTTTAGTAAATAAGAGTTGGTGTGGCTTTGTGGGTTTTGTTTGTTATGTTAGAGGTCATGGGTTCTATCCTTAACCTATATTTTATACAATCATTGTCTTGGTTCTCAGAAACAACACAAAACCAAACTCGTTATATCTTAGATGTTGTGCTTAAGTATATAAATGTTGGTGGGTTTAGCTTACTTTGATATGTTAGAAGTCTTGAGTTCTATTCTTCCTAGAGGCATCCTTAACCTATTTTATAAAATCGTTGTCTTGGTTTTCACAGACAACACAGAAGCAACCCAGTTATATACCAGATGTTGCACTTTAATACAAAAGAGGTTGTGTTGCTTAGTTGGTTAAACCTTAATTGATATGTTTGAGGTCATAGGTTTGACTCTTGTTGTTAACATTCTTGTTTATATTTTATACAACTGTTATGTTATCTTTTATAAAATAATGATGCGCAAAGACAACGGTTTTTTATAACCGTTGTCTTTGTAGTGTTGTGTATTCAAATACGCTTAAAGACAACATACCAAAGACAACGGTTAAAGAAAACTGTTGTCTTAAACAAATAAAGAACACGCAACGACAACAGTTATATAAAACCGTTGTCGTTGTAGTGTTGTGTATTCAAATGCTATTAAAGACAACACATAAATGACAACAGTTAAATAAAACCGTTGTCTTTTATAAAATAATAATGCGCAAAGACAACGGTTTAAAAGACCGTTGTCTTTGTAGTGTTGTGTATTCTAGTGAGCTTAAAGACAACACACCAACGACAACGGTTAAATAAAACCGTTGCCTTTTTAAAAAAAAAAAAAAAAAGAGCGCACAAAGACAACGGTTTTAAACATTAACCGTTGTCTTTCTAGTGTTGTGTATTCTAGTGCGCTTAAAGACAACACACCAACGACAACGGTTAAAAAAACCGTTGTCTTTTTTAAAAAAAAAAAACGCACATAGACAACGATTTTAAAAAACCGTTGTCGTTGTGGTGTTGTCTTTTCACAAAATGCACAAAGACAACGCACTTATAACAATGGTTAAGTAAAAATCGTTGTCTTTGACAAAAGTGTTGCATCAAAGACAACGGTTTTGGACCAAACTGTTGTCTTTTATACAAAAGACAACACTTTTCTTAAAAACTGTTGTCTTTCTAGTGTTGTCTATGTGCATTTTTCTTGTAGTGTTGGCTAAGACTTGACTATCTTTTGGCTATTTTTTTATGAGTGGGAGTGACAGACGTGTCAACTCCAAACTCTTAATTAGCCGTTAGAGGTAGTGTTTGAGTTAACTTATAAAGAAGTCATAGAATATATTTAGCGTTATGCTAACATTAAGAGATCTCTACTTAAGGCATGCTTCTAAAGTTTTAGAGATCATACAGTGTACACTTTTGTACAATTTGGATGGTTTTTCTCTCTTAGTTGTGCACATAATATATTTTGAGAAACATCTCTTAAGGTACCAAGAATAAACATATGGTTTGTTCATAAAGGACCTAAGTTGGAGAATTAAAATGCATGTGACCATAATGGATACTACTCTGATTTAATAGAGGACACGTCACTATGATTTGTGTGTTTTGTTCTTTGATGAAGGTTGT